GAGTTATTTCCCAATATCTTTGGTTGTCCAATTTGAGGGATCAGCTATATTTTCAACTACATTTATTAAATGTATTCCATGAAATTTTCTTCTAACTATATTCACTCATCTTTCCTCCCTCTCTCCCTCCCTCCCTTCCTTCCTTCCTTCTTTCTTTTAGAAAACACTCTTCCATTTTAAACTTAGAAGAATGGTGCCATTTTGAATTTTGTGGAGATATCATCCTTTAAAAAGTTACATTGGCCAAAAACTGCCTTCTGACTACTTCTCTCAAACCTAAAATTCTGTTTCTTGCATTGTCATCATACAAATTACTAATTTGCTTGCTTTTCAATATTTTAGGTGGCCGGGGAAAAGACAATGCTTGGATCATTACATTTCCAGAAAATTGTAATTTCAGATGTATACCAGAAGATGTGGTAGCAAAAGTGCTGAATTATTTGACATCTGTTGTGAGGTACAGCCTTTCATAACATTTTTTTTCAATTTGTTTTATATTGGATACCCATTTGAATATAATAACAGGAAAATGGCTTTTTAGTGACTATTACTATTATTGTAAATGATCATAAGACTCACCTTCAGAGTAGATAAGAAATAGAAGGGGAGGCTGTCAGCTATCTAAATTACTGTAAAAATTATACTGAGGATCTATGAATACAAAATTGGGGGTCTAGAAGTATTTATCCCCATGAAGAACATAGGTTGAAAATAATAATCATACATAAAGTCTTTAATTTGCATAAAAGGAAATCTTACTAGCCATGAGTGAGGACAGCTATTCTTCATTTCTTCCAAGGATAAGAAAAATGAATGTTAAATAGACTAAAAAGTGATATTAGGAGGGATGTATTAGGAGGTACTTCTTGATATTGCAGATCATTTGAGACTTCCATGCTTTAAGAGGGAATGTTTCAGAAGCTTCTTTAAAGATTTTATTTAGGCTGAAGACAAATTTTTTAAAGGAAACATTTCCCATTCACTAACCCTGAAGACTATGGGGACACAAATCTAGGATGGTAAAATTGTGAAGAGTCTTAGGAACAAAAATCAAATCCCAGAAAAAGTAAATTAACAGGGCACCCCTTAAAACTTGAAAGTGGTCTTTTCAGGGCAAATAAAAGTTATAAGGCTGGCCGAGTGGCTCAGCTGGTTAAGACCACAGGCTCTGAGCAACAGGGTCGCCAGTTCGATTCCCACATGGGCCAGTGAGCTGCGCCTGAGCTGAGCTGCCGCTGAGCATCCAACAGGCGGTAGGATGGCTCAGCTGGTGAGAGCACCTGCTCCTAGCAATAAGGCTGCCGGTTTGACTCCCACATGGGATGGTGGGCTATGCCCACCCACAACTAAGATTGAACACGGCACTTTGAGCTGAGTGGCTGCGAGCTGCCGATGGGCGGCCAGATGGTGACTGGATTTGGAGCTGAGCTAGCTGCGCCCTCCACAACTAAGATTGAAGGACAACAACTTGGCCGTTCCCCTTCCCCAATTCCCCAACACTGTCCCCCTTCCCCAATTCCCCAATAAAATCTTTAAAAAAAAGTTATTTTATGCACTAAACTGTCTTTCCTAAAGGGATAGACAAGAGATAAAAACATATTTGACAGTGTTTTTATGAATGAATGAATGAATGAATGAATATGGTCATTGGTTTATGATGGATTGCCATGGAAAGTTATATCATGTCATATAAGCTGTCTATAAGGTTTACCCATACCAAAGATTCCAGTATTCCAAATCCATTTTACTGACCTATCTGCATTACACTATCACTTGCCTATTTTAAAAAAACTGACAGTAATGCTGACAAGGCAATTTAAAATAGCGAGTAGTGGAGTATGGAATAAAGTTCATTTTCCAAGGTAGCACTTTGTAATAACTTTCCAAATCCAAATCTTTCTTCAGTAAAGACAAGAAATGTAAATGAAATAATCAGAAGTAAGGACGTACCTAGCAAATTTGGATTATCACTAAGAAATACACACAATATGGTATATAGATTATGTTATATAGAATCATACACTTGAAACCTATGTAATTTTACTACCCAGTATCACCTTAATAAATCTAATAAAAAATTTTTTTTAAATAAATGCATATTATTTTCTCTTACCCTGCAGGCAGAATGGATCTGACTCCCAGTTTACCATTATCCTTGATCGAAGATTGGATACATGGTCTTCTCTCAAAATCTCTCTCCAAAAAATCGCAGTACGTACCAATGCGTTCTTTAGTAACTTCTTATTTTTTTTAAGCTGAGCCATCCTGCCACCTGTTGGTAGCTCAGCGGCAGCTCAACTTGGGCTGGGAATTGAACTGGCGACCCTGGTGCTCAGAGCTCGAACTCTTGAGTGAGCTCTTAACCAACGGAGCCACTCGGCTGGCCCTTATTTTTTATTTTTTACATCATACTTTTTGTTTTGAGGGGGTATAGATTATTTTGATACTGATCAAGACAATAAAATAGATGGGATAATGAGGTGGGAAAGTAGGAAGAAGAATTGGTACAAGAGATTGAGCTACACAACTCCACCCAAAATAAAACCTAATGGGAAGGAACGCCTGATTAAGTACTCCAGGCTGGTACCATTATAATTGTCTTATAGACGAGGGAATAACAGCAAGATACACACTTTGGAAAGGTTATGTGATGAATTCAAGGTCAAAAAGCTAAGTAACAAAAAGAGCCAGAGCAAGATTTGAATTTTCATGAATTTCAGTGGGTGCCTTTTCCACCTGCTGCTTGCTATCATTTTCCAAGTTATTAGTGAGAAGAGACTCATGGTTCCCTATGCCTTTCAGAGCAAGTTTTTATGGGAACTTTTAAAAAATGGAAAAAGCTGTGTTGTGTACTCATTGCATATGGGAAAGTATAAAGGAGAAAGTTTAGAACAATAATCAATAATCCAACCATCCAGAAATAAGCAATTTTTAACGTTTTGGTGTATCTATCTTTCCCCCTGGGATAAGTACGGAAATGAGTCACCTGCAAAATGATATGTCTCCCATATTGGAATCTAATGCTCAGATTTTTAAGACCCAGATTGAGAAAAGAGTTTTTCTAAAGGACACATTATGAGAGATGCAATCCTACCCACCTGTGGTACTCTGTGGAAGTGCCATGGGGTCAGCTTCCTCTATCATACCAGAGTAGCTGGGAATCAATATATGTATTTTTTTCTTTGCTAGTCCAACATCATCAACCGTGTGAATTTTTTTTAAATTGGGGAATAGCCATGTTTATTGGTTACACATTGCTTTCATGCTACAGTGGCATAGTTGACACTTTTAGGGAGAGTGTAGCTCACAGTGGCCCATGCGGGGATCGAACCGGCAACCTTGGTGTTATCAGCACCACGCTCTAACCAACTGAGTTAACCCATCACCCCAACCATCTGAAATTCTTACTTTGTGTTCTGACTGACACCCGGAGGCCACACCCAGCAGAGAAAGTTGATTTGGTTGCGAAGGCAAGACAAAAATCTAAGTTGTTGGACTTCTGAGCCCGTGTTCTTTTTGCCATCTTAAGTTGCTAACAATTGTAAACATACAGCTGACCCTTGAACAACATGGCTTGAACTGCATGGGTCCACTTATACACAGATTTTTTTCAGTAAATACTGTCAATGTATTTTCTCCTCAAGATTTTTTTTTAAAGATTTTATTGGAGAATTGGGGGAGGGGAACAGCATTGGGGAATCAGGGAAGGGGAACTGTGGATAGACAAAGAAATTCAATGTTTTTTAGGGAAGGGTAAAATTCCTTTGGAGAGAGTAAATCTGTCCTCCAGTGGGCCCCATCCGTGGGGCTACATGAAGTAAAAGCTATTTGCCTTGCCACTAAATATAACACCTGTTACGATAAAACTTTTTTTTTTATCACCCAGCTTAGCTTTTTTCTTTTCACCCAAACTACCTGCTTGATTAAAGTAATTTACATTGAGTCACCATTGGGCACATGGTATCAGTTTTTCGTAGCGTTTTAGTTTCTGTTAATCAAATAGGTTGCTTGGACCAGAAGCCTTGTTTCCCCTAAAGAAGAAATATATAAGATTCAGTCTTGGTCCTATTGATTTGGGGTCAGCAGAGGAATACTGACTTGTTTCTTGGGAGGTGATGCTCCCCTTTCTGTTTTCCTAGGAATGCTCTCTCACTGCGCAGGTACGAACCATGTTCAGCAAAGAGCTGGGCACTGAGGGCCCCTTTATCCTCATAAGGGCCAAACTGATAGTGCCGGGTAAGAGTGGTAGTCAATGATGACATGTGACTGGCTATAGATTATTTTAAATTTTGTTGCTTTTTAAGATTTTAAATGTTTGTGCTTGTGGTAGTTTCTATACCCATACTGAAGAGCACTATTAATTGTGTATCAAGCATTAACAGCCAATCGGCACCGTTTGCAACAAAGGAAAATATTGAATACAAGCTAAGCTCAAGAGCAAAAGTTGGCATTCAGAAAGGATTTCTGGTGAAAATTGCCATTGTACAGATAAGTGTAATTGTCTTTGGTATATTATTTTAAATGAGTGTTGATGAAATAATGACACAATCCAATTTGAAGACCTTACAAATATTTTGAAGACCTTAATTTTTGTAGATTCTAAAATAAACTATGCAGTTAGGTTGTACTTCAGAATTCATGCTAGGAGATCAATTTTCTTTTCTTAGTTACACATTTTGGGGAAATGTTAATTTGGGAGAGAATCCTATCCATCTTAAAAAAATGTGCATGTTATGTTCTTTCTAGATTATCATCGGCAAAAAAATTCACAAACTTAACCTTTCACAAAGCTTAAACCCAGAATAGAATTTAATTTTAAAAAAAGATTGAATTTTAAGTTACAGACCAGGGTAGGATGAGAACACAGCTATCAGTGAAGACTACCTTCACAAAGATTCTTAGCATTCCACCTTAAAAATCGAACTGCGCAGAGGAGAAAGCCAGTCCCATCAAGCCCCTAGGAGGAGAGTCTTTTTTTTTCTTCCCCCCCCTTCCTCCACTCTTAGGACATGCCTGATCGTCTTGAGCAGTCCAGCACGAGCTAATCCATGAGGTTCAATCAGGCTAAGTAATTGGGGGAATGTGTCAACTCTGAATTACAATGAGCAGCAGGGAAGGCTCTGTCAGCTGACTAATCAGGGATAGCGAGTTTTCTTGCAGTGCTGCCATGGTGGTAATGGAAGCAGCTACAGCTACGGTAGCTTTGTTTGATAGAGATTTTTGGCTGCCGCTTTTCAATACTACCTAAAAAGCAGCTCATATTTCATCAATGTTGCATTGACAATTGGAAAAGAAGAGTGTTATTGTGTATAGGCAAGATGGCAGAAGCAACTCCCCCGAGAGGCAAGATGAGGTTCAGAAGGAATGCGGTAAGGGCTCTCTCTGCCTGCGGTCCTGGAAAGACTGTTCCCAAGTTCAAGTGCAGGGATGCTGCAGCAGGATGCTGTAGCACCAACTGCTGAATGGGGCTTTGAGGGACAGATGGAGAGAATGGAGACTTGTATTTGCATGGATTGCATTGATATGATTACTGTGATGTTGACATAGGGAAATGTCAAGGAGGTAGAAGGTAATTTCAAAATCTAAATGTGATCAAGGTTTCATCAGGAAGTGCTGACAGCCACGTTATTTGTTTAAGACTGAACAATTTTGAATCGTTTGGCAGAGTAGCTTTAAATCACTAGTTAAAATACTATCTTACAAAAGGATTCATTCTTTATTTCACCGGAGTCAAGTAGAGTATGATATCGTGGATAGATCTGGAGACGACTTCATCAGGTTTTAAAAAAGCAGCCCTTACTGGGTGTTACTGTATAAGTGAAAAAATTTCAGTCTAATGATTCAAATCTTTCTGATTTTAATTCTTCTCCAAATTCAAACTTTAAAGATACAGAATTCTAGCCTGTTGACAACTTGTTGTTGTTGTTGTTGTTGTTGTTGTTGAAGGAAAAACAGTGACTCGGTTTTCATTATACCCTATAATTTAGAAATATTTCAGATATCTTTCAAACATTTTGCTACCTAAATTTTTCCCTTCATGAGCTCACTGGTATACTAAATTCCCAGCAAATTTCTAAAGTGATATTTCGATGTATTTGGGAGAAATGTGAAATAACATTAATTTAAGAACTAACTAGTCATCAACAAGGTTGTAAATGCCACTCTTTTTCTTTCAAAACTTGAGATGACATTATTGATGTTATGATTTAAAATAGGATACTTGCTCATTAGGAATATTGAGACAACACACAAAATAAGAAAGTAAAATTCAGCCATAGGAAAAAATGACATTTGGGATCATAAGGTAAGGGAAATAAACAAGTAAGAGTTTTATTGTTGTTGAATGACAGTGACCATTCATGGGTGAGTAAATGAATTATTTTCTATTAAAGCTCTTAGCACAGAGGCTGTTTTTAAAATTACTGTTTAGGATATGAATCTTTTTCTCTTAACAACATTGTATCTCCAGCTGTACACTTGATTTTATATTATGCAAATAATAGCGTCAGACGTTTGATAGACAATTTATGGGGCACCAGAAATGCCTTTGTATGTGTTTTGCAATATTGGGTGCAACTGATGTTAGTACTTTTGTTATCAAAAGTAACTGACTTAATTAAGCTTTCGGAAAGTTCCTAATTCCTTTATATATAGAGGTGTTTTCTCAGTGCTGAACTTAGTTTTGTGTATATACACATACAGGAATATACACACAGATACATCCAGCACACAGGTACTCATTGAACAGACCTATTGAATACTGTGCTGCACATAACATATTATAGGTTACAAAGGTAAATAAGGAATGGCTACTGAGATGAAGGAGCTCTCAATCTCATAGAGAAGATAGGACATGTTCATAAATAACGAATATGAAAGAACTTCTAGCTGCTGGGGAAGGCCTCATAAAGGAGATGACATTTGTTAAAACCTTAAGCAAAAGCATACGTTTCTGTTACCTTTGTTTCTTTCCTCCATTTTTCTCTTAAGTGAATTACTCTAAAGATGTCTTCAAGTGAAATTGTTTGGATTAAGTCTGAAGCCTGGAAGTGTAGTGGAAGACACATTTGTTCTGCTTACATGGATAGGGCTTGACCAGAGTGAAAAATAGGAAACTCAGCTGGTGACACAATGGTTTAACATTGCATGATCTCTGGAGTTGGCCTGATTCCAGAGCTATGATAGGTAGGACCCAAAAGGGTGGTACAGTGAATTTAGAGTCCAAAGAGAAGTTTAAACTAGTTAATTGGTGGAAATTACAATGACTGTGGCAAAATGAGAAGGAGGAGATGAGAACAGATATGTAACACGAAGGGCAAATCACAAGCCAGGTCTGTTACCCAGGACTGTCCTGCCCCTGAGGTCACTTGGCAAGTTGTTTGGCGATCTGTGGGGTAACTCATACTTTCTGTACTCTTTAAGGGTGGGGTGGGGTATGGAAGAGTGTGGAAGTAGCTCATGGCCTTGGAAACTCTTCTCAATAGCTTGAGGTCATGAGATTTTGCTCAGCATCTTCTGAAGAGATAGTTCGGACTTTATCAAGGCCAAGGCCAACAACTCAACATTATGTTCTGTTATGATATTAGATTATAATAGTTTCTGTTCAGTGGGCCCCATGATGTCAAATTGTTTCCAGTCATTTGTTTGTTAATATTTATCCCATTTTGTAGATGTCATTGTCAAGTCATTCCTAAATGCTAGACAGCAAGTCTGAGTGTGCATTCAGTCTATGCGTTAAGTACGTGTCCCGAAAAGCGTTCTGTGTCCTGGAAAGAACTTGCCCTTAGGATTCAGGTAACCCTGGGTGCCACTGCTCCCTGGCTGTTAACTTGGGCAAGTTATTGCAGCCCTCTGCTTCAGTTTGCTCACCTGTAAAACGGCCACAATACCTACTTCATTGCAGTGTTACGAAGGCTACATAGGATAATGTGTGTAACAAGCCTGGCACATGTGTCAAGGCTTTCTTTCAAAGATTCCCTCCTATTGTTACTGCATTTCTTTCCCCTAAATATTCAAAAAGAAAAGCTATAAGAATATGAACTGTTTTATTATTTTTAAAAAAATATTTATTTTCATGACATCTTTTTTTTTAAGAAATTATATTGGGGAACAGTGTGTTTTTCTAGGACCCATCAGCTCCAAGTCAAGTAGTTGTTTCAGTCTAATTGTAGAAGGCACAGCTCCTTGGCCCACGTCAGAATCAAACCAGCAACCTTGGTGTTATGAGCCTGTGCTCTAACCACCTGAGCTAACCGGCCACCCCAATATCAACTGTTTATATAGTAAAGTATCAAAACTTTTTTGTTGTCTAAGCCACTTTAAACATTTTTAAAGAAATAAGTAGTGCAACCGAAAAGTGTGCATAGGGTGTATGAATTGCTTCTTTTAGGTGTGGCACAAAAGGTGTTACACAAGGTTCATTTCTAGACATTAGTAGTGAAACTATGTGTCAAGTTTATGCCTTTTGTTGTTGTTATTGCTGGCCTGACTGCTGCCGGGCCATATAACTGGGCAAGCTGAGGGAAGATGTGAGGAGGAGGGAGTAAATCTCTTTTCCAGGAGGGAAAGGTGAGAGAAAGCTGATTTTGTGCCATTAATTTGAAGAGCGAGTTAAGAGCTGCTGCAGAGGGTGGGGGTGGGGCCGTGCACAGTGATTGCAGAAATGGCCATGAGCCCTATGAAGAAGGGCAGCGTATTCATTTTTACTGAGGTGCCTTTAAGCAGTCACATGTTGGAACGCCAAAAAAAAAATGCCTGCAGGAAGGTAAAACCAACGCTGTTTCCTCTCTCATGCAGCCTTTTTGTTTGTTTGTTTTCTTTAAAAAAACCCACAGCTAAACAAAGCTGACCCTTGCCCACATCCCTTTGCTTTTTTGATAGGTTCTCAAAAACGATTTATAGTTTTAAAATCTAGAGTTTGGTTTTGGAGAAAATAGAAATTGTGCCTTTTCATGTTTATGTAACCATAAAGATTAGAGATCCTTAAAGCAGCATACCCAAGGATTTAGGGATGTAATTTCTCCACACCGAAACGGGGAAAGCTCAATGGTCTTGAGGTATATTTGCCGTGAAATATGTGCATTGGATACTGTTTGGGATATGTGATATGCTATAGGATTGCTCATTTGAACATTAGCTTTAAAATGGATTATCTTCAAACTTTTAGCTATACAAATATCTATATATAGAGAAAAAGAAACCCTCTACATTTTTTTTTGGTTTTTATTGGGGAATTGGGGGGATGGGAACAGCGCTGGGGAATTGGGGGAAGGGGAATAGACAAGTTGTTGTCGTTTTGTTCTTCAGTCTAGTTGTGGAGGACGTTGCTTCACTGGCCCAAGTTGGCACCATCATTGCGCTCCTTCCGGGCAAGGTAGATCAGTCGCTGGCTTCTGGACGGCCGCTCACAGCGGCTGCTGGCCGCTCACGCATATTTTTTGTTTTTAATTTTATTGGGGAGCAGCCGTGGTCACTGGTTACACATTGCTTTCATGCTACAATGGCATAGTTGACTGTTTTAATGAGGGCACAGCTCACAGTGGCCCGTGTAGGGATCGAACCAGCAACCTTGGTGTTATCAGCACTACGCTTTAACCAACTGAGTTAACCTCTCACCCCCCACCCTCTACACATCTTAAATCCAAATGGCTTTTCAGGTTAAAATTTCTCTGTCCCCTCCAGATTCTCACAGCCAGTGATTAAAGAGAGAAAAGTGTACATATTATTGATGTTGGCCCATGTTCAGATAATGAAACTTTAGTTCAGAGGTTGCAAACTGGTAGTCCATGGATGTATTTTGTTTAGACCACACAGTGTTTTTGTGTTAGGGTGTTCTAACAAACTTTCAATTTGTTTCCCATCTTTAAAAATCTTGAAGTTTGGGGGAGACCGGTTAGTTCAGTTGGTTAGAACGTGGTGCTGATAACACCAAGGTTGCCGGTTTGATCCCCACATGGGCCACTGTGAGCTGCGCCCTCCCTGAAAGAGTCAACTATGCGATTGTAGCATGAAAGCAATGTGTAACCAGTGACCATGGCTGTTCCCCAATAAAATTAAAAAATGTTGAAGTTTCACACAGAAATCTGGATTTCTGGCTTCTTATGAGAAGTCAAGATTTGGCAAAGCTGGACCTACCTTCCCACATGACATTGAGCTGGAACTGACTAGTGAGTGCCTCCTCGGCAATGCTTTCCAGTTTGCCACATTTCCTATTTCTCTTCATCTTCTCAGAAGAGCGTGAGTTGCCATTTTCAACCTCATTCTGTTTTAATTAAACCCTGCCTACTTCATGCATTTACATTATTCCCCTAACACATGCTAGACATTCAAGTTTGTTTACCTTTGCTTTAGTTAGGTTTCATGTTTAGAC